CTACATCGGCTGGGCGGCGGCCAGGATCTGCCAAGTCGACCTGTGGAGGCCGCTGGGCGAGGATGGGAAGCTCAAGCGGAATGTGGAGCCGAAGTTCTTTCCAGGGCCGCAGCTCAGCCTCGCGCGCCAGGAGTGCCAGGCGGTGGGGGTTGACGGGGTCCAGTGCGTACATTGTGGGAGGGAAGCCTACACGGGCAAGGCTCGGACCCTCCTGTGCTGCAGGCTGTGCAAGCCCTCGCGCCTCGGCCAGATGCGAGCGGCAAAGAGCCAGAGTGCTTCTGGAGCGCAACTGCTGGCGAGCTCAGAAGCGGTCAACCTGGGCCTGCAATTGGCGGACTTGGTGGAGACGCAGGCGGCGCAGGAACACCCCCCGACAGCGGCGGCGACGGCTCGGGGAGACGAGACGGGACGGACACCGTCGGAGGCCTCCGCGGAGCGAGAGAGTGAGGAGTCGGCGGGGCGCGCACCGTCGGAGTCCCCGCTGCAGGCCATTCTGGGCGAGCCCAACCCCGCTCCTTCATCCCGCGGCGCCTGCCAGCGGTGACCGGCTCCCCTGGAGGAGAAGGCGCAGTGCCTCCTGACAGCGGCCAAGGGGCTTGCGCCGCGCAGAGCAGAGGGGCCTGGCTCGAGCGCGCGGCGCGGATCGGTCTCAAGTGGCACGGCAGCTGCTGGGAGCGGCGCGGCGGCAGGCGGCCCTGAGGTGGAGGCTGACGTCAGCGACCTCGCGCAATGGGCCGCGGAGGGGCTGTGCGCGCCTGAGGCCGAGGGAGGGGCTGCCCAAGGCGCAGGCCAGCCAGCGCCCCCAGTGGCGGCGGCGGCGCAGGCGGCGATGGACTTTCCAGTGGCAGCAGCCTGTTCGCTGGCGGCGGCCGCGGCTGCCACGTCGCTGCCAGGGCGCTCGCGCAGCCCCCGGCGGCGGCAGGTGGGCAAGATGCCGCAGGGCGAAGTCTCCGTGCCCAGCGACGACCTCGGCCACAGCATGCGCGAGGCGGGGCAGTGCGCTTTCTGCGGCAGATGCGGGGCCTTCGCCAAGCTGCAGGGGGCTGACTGCGCCAGGGCCCCTACGCGGGGAGGCCGCTCGGCTGACGTCGCCGGCGGCCCTTCCACGCGGCCGTGGGCCGCTGCGGTGCGCCTGGCGTGCCGCCCTGGCTGCGTGCGGGCGGGCTTGCCTGCCTGCCGCCGCTGGGCGCTTTTGGGCCGTGCGCCTGGCCCCTGTGGCGTCGCCAGCTGGGGGTGTGCGTGGTCCCGACGGCCGTGCGGCGGGCGGGTGCTCGCCGTCCTGAGGCGCGGGCTGGCGGCGCGCGGCCGCCGCGCCCCCGCGGACCGACGCTGTGCGTCGGCGGCCGAGCCTCGACTCGCCCGCTGGCGCGCCGAGGGTGGTGCGATATATATATATATATATATATATATATATATATATATGTATATATATCTATAGAGAGAGAGAGAGAGAGAGAGAGAGAGAGAGAGAGAGAGAGAAAGAAAGAGAGAGAGAGGGATAGAGAGAGAGAGAGAGGAAATGAGAGAGAGAGAGAGAGAGAAAGTGAGAGTGAGAGAGAGAGAGAGAGAGAGCAAGAGAGAGGAGGTGGATGATGAGGTTGAGAAGGGGCAAAGGGGAAGACATTCGGTTTCTTTGCGGTACGTCTACGTGGAGAAGTCCACGCGCCCCCCGAGCCTCCGTCTCCTCCCTCACCTCGTTCCAGGTCCCAATTCGATCCGATCAATCCAATTCGATTGCGATCCTGGCTGGCCCGATTCAACTCGATGTCAACGTTCTTGCGATCCGATGCGGCCCGATGCTTCAATCGCACTGATGTGCATTTTGGCGCGGCCGATTCGATCCGATTCCGACTACGTGGCGGTGCGGCACCTCGTGGGTGTCATTTTGGAAGTACTTGGAGAATCTGAAACGCTTTTGGGCAGTTTTGCGGCCGTGTTGGGCCGTGTTGGGTCCATTTTGGGCCGTGGTGGGTCCATCTTGGGCCCTCGTGCGCCGATCTTGGCCGTTTTCCGACCTGTTTTGGAACCTAATTGGAGCCTCTCTTGGGGCGCATGAGGTTGTGGAGAGCCCGAGGTGGCGAGCGTGCGAACAAGATTCGAACATTAATGAGGCGTCTATGAATTCGGGCCTCCTGGGAAATGAATCCGGACCCCCCCGGGCTTCTTGGGTATCATTGTGGAACAACTTGGAGCATCTGAAACGCCTCTTGGGTCATGTTTCGGCTATGTTAGGCAGTGTTGGGTCCATCTTGGGCCGTCTTGGAGGCATCTTTGGCCTTTGTGCGCCGATCTTGGCCGTCTTTGGGCCTCTTCTGGGGTCCCAGAAGGCCCGAAAAGCGCCCAGGAGGGGTCGCCGGAACCGTCCAATTTCTGCCGGGGGGGCCATCCTCGGTGACAGATAGTATAGACAGGAATCTTGCTATGTTGTTTTATTTTGTGGAGGGGAGGGGAGTTGTTCTTGTTACAAAAAGGTTTGTTGGTGTTGTGTTGTTTGTGCTTGTTCTTTGTTGGTTTCGTTATTGTGCGTCACGTGCGGCTGTGTTGTCGGTTATTCGTTTCGTTTTGTTTGAGATTGTTTTATTGTTTGTTTGAACCGATTGCTTATTTATGTGTTTACTTGTTGGTTTTGTGTTTGTTATTTGTTTGTTTGTTTGGTTGGTTCGTTTGGTTGCTTTTATTTTTGCTTGCTTGTTTATTTGTTCGTAGCTTTCATTTGTTTGTGTGCTGTGTGTATCGGTGTTGAAATTGTTGTTGCTGTTGTTGATGATGTGGATGTGGTTGTTGTTGATGTTGCTGTTGTTGTTGATGATGATGTTGATGTTGATGATGTTGTTGATGATGTCGTTGCTGTTGCTGTTGTTGTTGAATATTATTCCTTCTAAAGAATTATTATTGTTGGGACCCCTGGTGCGCGACCTCTGCGCCGCGCCTAGGCCGCAGCTACATTTTCATCATTTTTTCGCGAAAGCTTCAGAAAAGTGGATTGTTACCGGATCCGGTTTTTTGTTGTACTCCGTTTTCCCTTGCAAAAAACACTATAAAATGAAAATTCTTGTTCTTACTTGATCAAATTGCAAGAATCCCTTGCAAAAAATAAGGTAAAGTGGACATTCGTGCGCGCAAGACGAAATCCTTCCAAAACCTTAGGTTTCGTAGCGATTTTAACATAAAAACATCAAAAACCCAATGGTTTTTTAAGAAAAAATTGTCAAAATGTTCATTCCGCGCGCTCTTGCGGATTCGTAGGAAAACCAACACTTTTTAAACAATTCTGTCAAACGGGCTTTTGCGAGCAACTTTTTCGAACTTCTGCGACAACGTTTGCGCACCTGCCAGGGCCATCATCCCTGTCAAATAATACCATGCGGGACATATTCGTTTTTTCTTTGCGCGCGCACGCCGAAATCTCCAAAAATCATTGGGTTTTTAAGAATTTTAGCACCGCGCATAATAAAATCACACGAATCGCACCGTAGGTCCTCGAAAAACACCTGCACGACTTTTCAAAATTTCCACCCGCGCGCGCTGTCCGTTCTCAAAAAACCAATGGTTTTCCAACATTTATGTTACCTGAGCTCGCGCGAGCTACTTTCGCATCTTTGCAACGGGGTTCGCGCGCCTGCCAGGGGCCAGAATCCCTTGCGGTTGCGCCATATGTTGCGCCAAAGTGACCAAGTTCTGTGGGTGTGTACCCCACGCCAGTGTAGTAGCCACGGTCGTCCGCACGCCACGAAGTGAAGTGTCCCAACGTCATAGGGCGGGAAGCTGGGTTTGGGTGGTCGCGAAGAGTCGTTTGGATATTTGGTAGAGCTTGTAATGCCCCCCCACGAAGTGGGGGTATTGCTGGCGTCGTATGAAAACCCTGGCACTGGTGAGAACACTGAGCGTTCGGGTAAAATGATTGTTGTTGTTGTTGTTGTTGTTGTTGTTGTTGTTGTTGTTGTTGTTGTTGTTGTTGTTGTTGAACATCATTAATTCTAAAGAATAATTATTGTTGGGCCCCCTGGTGCACGCCCCCCCCCCCGCGCCTAGGCCGCAGCCACATTTTCATCATTTTCGTGAGGAAGTCTCAGGTAAAACGATGTCATCCAGATCCGGTTGTTTTGTTGACGCCCGCTTTCCCTGTCAAAAAACACTATAAAATGACATGTCTTGTTCTAACATAACCAAACTTCAATAATCCTTTGCAAAAAATGACACGAAGTGCACACTCGCGCGCGCAAGATGAAATCCTTCCAAAACCTTAGTTTTCGTAGCGATTTTAACATAAAAACATGAAAAACCCAATGGTTTTTCAAAAAAAAAGTTTCAAAAAATCATCTTGCGCGCTCTTGCGGATTTCTGAGGAAACCCAATATTTTTTCAACATTTCTGTCAAACGGGCTCTTGCGAGCAACTTTTTCACGTGCTTCGAACTTCTGCAACAACGGTTGCGCGCATGCCAGGGCCATCATCCCTGTCAAATAATACCATATTGGACACATTCGTTTTTTCTTCGCGCGCGCACGCCGTCGTCGTCGGCCGCGGGGCCCTGAATAGTAGCCACGGTCGTCCGCATGCCACGAAGTGAAGTGTCCGAACGTCATAGGGCGGGAAGCTGGGTGTGGGTGGTGGCGAAGAGTCGTATGGAAATTTGGTAGAGCTTGAACCGGCCCCCCCACAAAGTGGGGGTATTGCCCGCCTCCTATGAAAACCCTGGCACTGGTGAGAACGGAGTGTCCCCAGTCTTAAATGATTGTTGTTGTTGTTGTTGTTGTTGTTGTTGTTGTTGTTGTTGTTGCTGCTGCTGCTGCTGTTGTTGTTGTTGTTGTTGTTGTTGTTGTTGTTGTTGTTGTTGTTATTGTTCTTGTTGTTCTGGTTTGTTGCTGTTGTTGCTTCTGCTGTTGTTGTAGTAGTTGTTGTTAGTCTTTTTTTTCCTCCCTCTCTCTTTCTGTATCTCCTGTGCCTCCCTTTCCCTCTCTCTGCGCCCGCGCGGGCCCGAGCAGCGGCGTGGGCGGCAGGGCCTCCAGATGGAAGACGTCGCCCCGAAGCGCTTCGGGCTGAATTTCAACCCCCCGTCGATCATCGTGGAGTATCTGCAGGCCCCGCTCGGCGCGCCCTCGCGCACGGCGATCGAGGGCCGAGGAGGATCAAGCATCGAGAAGGGTCGTGGATCGAGGAGGGTCGAATGTCCCGCAGGATCGAGGAGGATCGAGGATGACCGAGGATCGAGGAGCATCAAGGATCGAGAAGGGTTCAGGATCGACGAGGGTCAAGCATCGTTGAATACCGGCAGGCCCCGCCTGGGTCGCGCCAAGCGGGAGCGTTGCTTCCAGAATTTGTCGACGTGTTTTTTTGTCAATCCGCCCCCAGGTGCAGTCTTCGGTCCCAGGGCCGTCAAAAATGGGTCCGGGTCGGGAAGCCCGCTGTTCTTCTCGAGCTCCGAGGATTGAGATTCTGTGTGTGTATGTGGGCCAGGACGTCCTGGATCATACCATTGCTTTGGAGTCGCAGGTTTCCAGGCTGATGACCCCGCGCGGTACCAGAACCGCAGACAACCAGGACAAGGATATGATCTGTGTGATCCGTGGGCTGCAGCATTGCGGAGACTTCGATATGACGAAATGATGGATAAACTTTGGGAATCTTATGGCCCCCAGCCAGAAGACGTGTACACGAAGGGGGACTTCCAGGGGATCATTTTTGGCAAATTCCCTTCGACGAAGGACGGGGACTCTGTCGTGAACATGTTCCACAAAGGTTCCTTTAAGGAGGGGGGAAATAATGTATGGGCTAGACCAGACTTTGTGTTTTGTGTTTGGTGCGAAGTACTTGTTCAAATATTGTGGCTACAACGCACAATCTGTCTGGGCGGACCCAGTTGAGGGCAAGGTCTGGGTGGGGGACGAGGTTGCGGTCCAAACCACCATAATCTCTGGCAAGTTCCATGTGGAATATGGGCGTGGGGATGGCTTGCGGGCCGTGCGCGGGCCGTCGGCAGCGAACGCGCGTTGGGTGGGGTCCGAGCTGCTCCAGGTTCGGCCTTGTGGAGGCACTGGGAGGACCAGAGGCCGCAAGGCTCAACCAGCCCATGTCCCTCCAAAGTCTTCGAATCGCCAAATACTCTAGTTTCTGGGCCCAGGCTTCTCCAGCGTGGCCAGAGTAGATGGGGTCGCAGGATCGCGCCGCATCGCCGGTGCATCGGCGATGCGCGGCCGTGAGGCCCCGCGAGTCTTGTGGATATTCAGCGGGCAAAGAACGGTATAATATAAACTTTTTCGCTGTCGGGGGCGCCTGTCCCTGGGCGGCTGGAAAGTTTATACCCCTACGGTGCCACCGTAAGGGTATAAACTTTCCAGCCGCCCTGGGACAGATGCCCCCTACAGCGAAAAAGTTTATCTTATACCGTTCTTCGCCCGTTAAGATAATGTAGGTTCTTTTCGTGTCGGGTCGGGGACCACCACACCGCGGCGAAGACTGCACCGCCTCCAGCGGTCATCCGTCAACGCTCTGTGCCTTCAGAGGAGGAGGAGGAGGAGGAGGAGGAGGAGGAGGAGGAGGGGGAGGGGGAGGGGGAGGGGGAGGGGGAGGAGGAGGAGGAGGAGGAGGAGGAGGAGGAGGAGGAGGAGGAGGAGGAGGAGGAGGAGGAGGAGGAGAGCCCCGATCGTCGAAGTTTGAACGATCCACGCGGTGAGAGCCAGCGCCAGGTAGTCACAGCACGCAGCTGCCGCACGCCTCTCCGCAGTCTGTGACGGGGGTGCTCCGCCCGGGCCTTGGGCTGACAGCGTCGGCCGCGCAGGGTGCACACTGGAGATGCCACTCCTCCGATGTTCGGGCCTGTCGACGGGGCGGTGCAGTGCGCTTGGGGAGCCAGCCGCGGGCTCGTCGGCTGCGTCGCAGTCAGCGTGCCGGCAAGCCCGGACGCGTCAGGCGTGCCGCGCGTGAGCACAAACCGTGTGCGTGCAGGTCGCATGTCGCGAGTGCGTGCGAGGGCACGCGAGCTCACGTGTGCGTGCATGCGCCCGCGTGTGCGCGCGCATGCGCTTGCAGTCTCGCGGTGATTCAGACGATGGGAGCGGGTCCATGCTGCCGGCGATTTGCTCGGCTCTCTCCGACGGCATATCCGTCGCAGCCATCGAGAGGCCATGTTTCTCCTGTCTTCTTCTTCACCACCCTTAACTCCGCAGGCGCCTGCAGCGCAGATGCCTTCAGCGCAGGCATCCAGCGCAGGCGTGTCGCCTACGTCGGCATGGGCGTGCAGCGCAGGCGTGCAGCGCAGGCGTGCAGCGAGGCGTGCGGCGCAGGCGTGCGGCGTGCGGCTCTGGAGTGCAGCGTAGGTGCAGGGAGAGGGGGAGGCAGAGCCTGTCCATCTCAGGGCTCCCTCCTTCCCTCCCTCCCTCCGTCCTCCTCCGGTCAACGATTCCCTTCGTCCCCCTCTCCACTTAGCGAGCCCGCTCCCGTCCTGCAGGGCGTGCCCAGGCAGCGGGCCTCTCCCGCATCGCAGCAACCTGCGCCCCGCGCCCTCCCCCCTCCCCGCCCCTCTCTCGCTATTGTAAATGTGTTCGCCGTACTGCCCTGGCAGCTCTGCCCTTCGGGGTGGTGGCACGCTTATGCAGGGCCCGCAGTCGTGTCAACAGACAAGCGTCCCCTGCCTCGCGTGTGTCCTCTGGGTTGTGTGCCCTCCCCTTGGATGAGAATTCGGGAGGGGACGAGGATGGGGATGGGTGAGATGATGATTATGCTGATGATGATGCTGATGCTGATGCTGCTGCTGATGCTGATGCTGATGATGATGCTGATGCTGCTGATGATAAGGAGGATGATGTTGATGATGATGATGATGATGATGATGATGATGATGATGTTGATGTTGATGATGCTGATGCTGATGATGATGATGATGATGATGATGATGATGATGATGATGATGATGGTGATGTTGACGGTAATGTGTGGCTCGGGCCAGGATAAGCAGCCGCCGCATGCGGGAGCCGTTGTTGGCAACCACGCTGGCCACTCTCCCTTCTCCTCGTCCTCCTTCCTTCGTCTCTTCCTCCTCTCCCTTAACCTTGCGCGTGTCTGCCCCACAAGCTGGGTTCGAAAGAAAGCGGGTTTCAAATGCAACCGATTCTTTTGTGCCTGTTCTTTCAGACAAGCGTTTTTGAAATGTGACTTTAGATGCGGGACAGTGTTGAATCTTGTGGTCCGCACCATTCCTTTCCTTGTAAAATTGATAATGCTGATGCTGATGCTGATGCTGATGATGATGATGCTGGTGCTGATGCTGAAGATGATGCTGCTGCTGATGATGGTGGTGATGATGGTGGTGATGATGATGCTGATGATGCTGCTGCTGATGATGATGATGCTGATGATACTGATGACGATGATGATGCTGGTGATGCTGATGATGATGGTGGTGGTGGTGATGATGATACTGGTGGTGGTTGTGGCCGTGGGGGTGGTGCCGATGATGGTGATGATGACAATGATGATAATGATGATGATGATGATGATGATGATGATGATGATGATGATGGTGACGATGAAGATGACGATGATGATGCTGATGATGATGATGATGATGCTGATGATGATGATGGTAGTGGTGGCGATGATGATACTGGTGGTGGTGGTGGCCGTGGGGGTGGTGCCGATGATGGTGGCGATGATGATGATGATGGTGACGATGACGATGACGATGTCGATGACGATGATGATGATGATGATGCTGATGATGATTATGATGATGATGACGATAATGATGATGATAATGATGATGATGATGATGATGATGAAGATGATGATGATGATGATGATGATGATGATGATGATGATGCTGGTGCTGGTGCTGCTGCTGATGGAAATGGTGGTGATGATGTTGATGATAATGATTATGATTATAATGCTGCTGCTGCTGATGATTATGATGCTGATGATGATGCTGCTGTTGTTGATGATGATGATGCTGCTGCTGCGGTTGATGATGATGATGATGATTATGATTATGATGATGATGATGATGATGATGATGATGATGATGATGATGATGATGATGATGATGATGATGATGATGATGATGATGATGATGATGATGATGATTATGCTGCTGCTGCTGCTGATGATGATAATGATGATGATGATGATGATGATGATGATGATGATGATGCTGATGCTGATGCTGATGCTGATGCTGATGCTGATGCTGATGCTGACGCTGACGATGAGGAGGAGGAGGAGGAGGAGGAGGAGGAGGAGGAGGAGGAGGCGGAGGATGAGAAGGAGGAGACGGAGGTCCGTAGCCATGTTGGCTTAAGTTCCGAAACCGCGTCCCTGACGCTCGGAGTTTGTCCGCAGCTGTGGGGAGTGGCCCGAAGTCGCAGAGGCTTGCAACCTTCTCGATCCACTCTGGAGCCGCCTCGCGCAGAGTGTTCGTTCTGGCTCCGATTCTCCGTCATTTTTTTGATGCCGCTACTAGATAGCGAGCGTGAGATGGATCGCAACGGCAGCATGCGTTGTCCACCGCCTTGGAGGCTATGGATGCCGCGCTGACGTTCTCGTCGCAGGAGCATGCCACCCCGCCGCGTCGTCCCCGCGCATATATTGTGAAGCTGCTGCTGGTCGTAGTCCCAGTCGGTCTGCTGCTGCTCTCGCCCGTGCGGCCGAAGAAGGACTGAAGAAGGAGAGTTTCTTGATTCCGCCTTGAGAGGAAAGCGGCGTCCTTGCCGATCTAACCCACAAGTGCGGGGCCGTGCTGCCAGTGCTCGGCGCGCGCCCGGAGACGCCGGCGGCGCGGGCTGGACGGGACTGGACGGGGCCGCGACGCGACTGGAGGGGCTCTGGGCCAGCCTCGAGCGGCTGCTGCAGGGAGGGCTCAAGCTCTAGGCCTCCTGGATGGGGTCAGAGTGGATGTGGTCGGAGAATCGTGCCGCATCGCCGATGCATCGCCGATGCGGCTAGATGTGGGGCGCACTGTCTTCCGCGCCGACGTCGCCAGTGCATCCCCGATGCATCGGCGATGCAGCGAGATCCTCCGACCCCATCTACTCGGACCCCATCTAGGATGCCTCTATCAACCGGTCAACCGGCAGGCTGCGGGTGC